GGGGGAGGGGGGATGTTGAAGCTTCGAAGTGATTGGCGCATAATGTTGTCAAACATCCCTGAACCTGGCGGATCTTTCCAAATCAAAATATCTATTACCTGCGGGTGGGTCTCGACAATCTTTGAACAAGTCCTTATGAATCATGTGAACTTTGAGCCGTTCATGTCGTAATGCAACGTTATTTTAGTGTCCAGGAAGCCAGAGCACATTTATGTAGCACTTAAGTTACAGTACCACCATTAATTTTCCTTGTTCCAAGTCTTGGTTGAGAATTTGATAAAATGATGTTATGTCAAAACTACCTCATGGGTTGAAATTATAATAACAATTAGTACGGCAATTCACATAAAGAATAACAAAAGCTTTGGCCCTTATATTCATGAAATATTTCTTCCGGAAAACATGCATTCTTTTTATTGTGGGTTCTGTTGTCTTCAAAAATTACAGCCAAGTCTCCTTGACCTCTTCAAAACATCACAAGAGCTCACTCTATATAATGGACATGTTATGACTTCACAATGTCAGGGTCAGTACGACTCTTTGCTAACTTTCCTTAGCCAGCCCAAGACTGAAAAATTGTAAACACTTCCTCCTTACCCTTTTTGTGTCAAATTCCATAGGGTTTTCTCACTAATCCCCACCTTTTCCTGTGATTAAATGAAAGTAGGGGACATATGCACTAGACATTTTGATCACTGAAAGTTTTATTTAAATGCACATGCTCATTTTATTACATAAAGTACTAATTCTATGCTCAAAGATGATTTCCAGTTCGTACTGCGCAGTCTCAGCACCCCAATGTTTGTGTCTCAGTTGATGAAATGCAAATCAATTATTTGTCACAAACCACATAGTCCTTATCTTTGAGGCATTTTCTTTGATTTTTACAGCTATGAAGTTGCTTCATCAAGTGATATCAGAAAGAACAAAGCATTAAGCTTTGCATCCATAATGGAAGTTGAAATGAACCTTTGAAATTACTTCATGTAAGTAATTGCAAAATGTTACAGTTTGTGATGTTTTACATGAATCAAAACAAAACAATGTAAACAAACTCGGGGCAATGCGCAGTACAGACTAGAAATCATTTTAAAGCCCTAAGAGTGACCGGCATCAAATTTGTCCTGACAGTATCAATACAAAAATCAAGAGAGAGGTAGTGAGAATCAAGGACATCATCACCAAATAGAAATTTCTATCATCTTGAACAAATTCTCATAGTCATTACCATAAGAAAATGTATGGATATCAGTGAGGAGGATTTGTATTTTGACACTAGGCCTTAAAGAGTTCAGAAATGTTTAGAGCATTTAGCTGTAGCAGGACATCTGTAAGCTACCTCTAAGCTAAGAATGAAAACCTATACCCCACTGTGGTACAAGTGAGGTAGATCTAATTATATCAGTAACCTCTCTAGGTTTTCATTGTAGTCAGACATATCAAAATTGTTTTACCTTTAATAGATAGCTCTCAGCTTTTACTACAAGGTGAGATTTTTTAGTTCTTCGTTAACCGCCATTTGACTTCACATTAAGTTGTAAGCAAGGATTGACTCTGGTTTTAAAGCCCTGAATCATGGTTGGGAATGTATGAAGAACAGCGATATAAAAACAAAGATTGCTTGCTCAAAAATCAAATTCAGGGCTTCAAATAATTTCCCTGCTGGCGCTGGTCAAATTTTCCGGTCAAATCTATTTTTAACTTGTACATATCCCATTTTTGGCCGGACAAACATCGATTACGTCTAATCACTATAAAAGTGCCCCCTGCCCCCTTCACATGATGTTTAAATATGAAACAAGTAAATTTTCAAAGGAAAAGTGGAATACATGGTATAGCAAAATCAGTATCACATTTGTGCAAAAATTTGCAACGATAGCCTGAAATTTTATGACTATTTTGAATCATTTACTACAAGTTCTTGGTCAGGTAGTGAAGTATCTGCCTTTTTCCCCTCCTTTTTCACAAATGCCAATAATAGTGAACCTTTAACTATTTGAAACTTGAAACTCTAAATTTTTTCCTTGCCAGTGTAAATGACCGGGCAAATTGTCCAGCCATCTAAGGATTTGACCGGACAAAACCTATTTTTGACCAGACATTGTCCGTTGACCGGCCGTTATTTGAAACCCTGGAATTTGAGGCCTAGCTTACACCATTTGCATTCCATGGCCCAATGACGGCAGATTAAAGGATGGACCTTGTTTTATCTAATTACTACAACAAAAGAAATTATCTCAGTGGCTGAAAGTAACCCATAATACAACTGTGACCATTATTTTACTNATCTGTAAGCTACCTCTAAGCTAAGAATGAAAACCTATACCCCACTGTGGTACAAGTGAGGTAGATCTAATTATATCAGTAACCTCTCTAGGTTTTCATTGTAGTCAGACATATCAAAATTGTTTTACCTTTAATAGATAGCTCTCAGCTTTTACTGCAAGGTGAGATTTTTTAGTTCTTCGTTAACCATCATTTGACTTCACATTAAGTTGTAAGCAAGGATTGACTCTGCTTTCAAAGCCCCGAATCATGGTTGGGAATGTATGAGCAGCGATATAAAAACAAAGATTGCTTGTTCAAAAATTGAAATCAGGGCTTCAAATAATTACCCAGCTGGCGCCGGTCAAATTGTCCGGTCAAACCTATTTTTAGCTTGGACATATCCCATTTTTGGCCGGACAAACATTGATTACGTCTAATCGCTATAAAAGTGCCCCCTGCCCCCTTCACATGATGTTTAAATATGAAACAAGTAAATTTTCAAAGGAAAAATGGAACGCATGGTATAGCAAAATCAGTGTCACATTTGTGCGAAAATTTGCAACGATAGCCTGAAATTTTGCGACTATTATGAATCATTTATTAAAAGTTCTTGGTCTGGTAGTGAAGTATCTGCCTTTTTCCCCTCCTTTTTCACAAACGCCAATAATAGTGAACCTTTAAATATTTGAAACTTGAAACTCTAAATTTTTTCCTTACCAGTGTAAATGACCAGGCAAATTGTCCAGCCATCTAAGGATTTGACCGGACAAAACCTATTTTTGACCGGACATAGTCCATTGACCGGCCGTTATTTGAAACCTTAGAATTTGAGGCCTAGCTTACACCATTTGCATTCCATGGCTCAATGACGGCAGATTAAAGGATGGACCTTGTTTTATCTAACTACTACAACAAAAGAAATTATCTCAGTGGCTGAAAGTAACCCATAATACAACTGTGACCATTATTTTACTTTCAGTGGTAATTTGATTGTTTTGAAAGCTAAATAATTACATTACAGCTTTCCTACTGAAACTATAATACTTATGATTGATATCTATAATATTATTTTAACACTCTTGTATATACTCTGTACAGTTAACAGTACATAGACTGTAACATAGTAACATAAGCCTCTCAGGTTTCACGAGATACTGAATGTCATCATTCAGTGAGATGCTTAGAAGTGGGAATGTAATTTACAGTGCACCGAAACAAAAAGCAATGTTAAATGACAGTTAATGAATCTAAAATTCTTAAGAAAAATCAAAATTCTCAAAAGAGCGGTAATCAAATAAGGAAATCCTAATTCTGGTTAAAAGAAAGGTTTACACATGGCTCTCTTACTTTTTCCTTCCAAATCAAACCTACATGTAGTACTAATGTTTTTAACAACAAACTTTGTACATGTACTGTAACTTGTTTTAGGATGGTCAAAGTGGCCCTGATTTAAAAGACTTAAAACTGAACCTTTCAACCTGCCAGGGGTTTCATTAAGGGCTGGACACCGGGAAAATCGACCAGCTGTGAGAGCGATTTTGCCTGGCGTGCCTGGTTTGACCATCTAATGGAAAGTTTTTCTATTTTTCAAATAGTTTTGCCCGCCTGTGAAAAGCAGTTGCCCTCCTGTTGAAAACATTAATGAAACCCCTGTTTAACCCTTTGCCCAAAATTATAAATGTAGCTAGCATGTACATGTAACTGCATCTCCACACAATATTAGAAAAGACTGCAATTTAAGAATGTTTGATTTACAGTTGAAGTACATTAATTTTAACCTTGAATGCCAAGTTGAATCTACGTGAAGTTCCAAGGGACCTCCTACAAAAAATAACTTTTACTGTACTAAGGTCGCCTTTATTTAGGTACATGTATTCACGTAATTCAGCCAATTATATTTAAAAGAGAGATCACAAATCTAAATTTCTAAACACGTGACTGTGAAAAAGTACAGTGTAAATCTTAGTTTGGCATTTTGTGTTATTTTCTTCACTTGGACCATTCTTTGGTGAGGGAACAGCTGACATATTATTGGCATACTAGTGTACATCACTTGGTGTACCTTCTTATTTATGTCTAAATCTTGTCTTCCCAAAATGGTTCCTTTTTGCAAGTAACTGCTGATGTACATGTATCCAGAAATGTACTGTATACACCTGTAGATGCAAATTCATTTGCTTAGTTACCAGCAGAAATATAAAGAGTAAAGTATGGTATGTCTCACTAAGAAAAAGTGTCAGAAGTCAAGCATTTTTGCTCAGATGCTATGCATGGGCTTAATGTAAAACTTTTCAACTGCCAATTAAATTTATTTTATTTATAGGTTTTTCTCATTTAGTATTTTAGAAAACTTTGCTACTTATTTTAACCATATTCCTTCCTCAAGTCAATTTTTAAACATTCACACCAAGTGATGATTTATATGTAAATAGTGACATGAGTGATTACATTTGCACAAGAGTGGTAGGATTGGTTTTGTCTGAAATCAAGCAATGTTAATCGTTCACCTGTCCAACTAATCTATGGTATCCATTCTTCCAACTCCTCTTCAAAACTGTTGTTTACACAGTACAGGGAGGCAATGTTATCCCCCTGGCGTCCAGGCATGACATTATACACATGACGTCTGGTGTGTTGATGTGGTGTGTACATGTAGTTGTCTTGGTAACCAGGACACTCTTGTGAAGGGCAGGCTGGTCCACAGTGGAACTTGACAAAGGAGAAATCCCTTTTACAAATTCCATCAACCATGGAAAACACTTGACACAATACATCTGCTGGCTTCACTCCTTGTATGTTGCTGTAAAATTTAATTACAAAATGATTGGCTTTGTTTAGCAACATGCAATTGAACAGTTGAACCAATGGTCACCTCTTAACAGTGGTAACAGACTTAAAATAGTGAAGGTAAAATTGTTTTCGAGCCACTCCAGTGTAAACCTAATCAACACCAGCTTTGAACTTCTAGAAAAAATAAGTTGAACGTACATGTATTTTAAACCTTGGAACTAATGAAAATCAACTTTGAGATACTTGTATTTGTATGGTTTAAATATAAATATACTCACAAGTAACATTTGAAGGTATGTATAACAATAAAGGAGAATAAATATTGGAATTTAATGGTATATCTAGGCTAGAAGAGCTGGGGAAGTATCCTTTGAATATCACCTTATAACCAGATTCTACTAAAGTTCATGAGTTTTTTCTAAAATTACCTGGAGCTGAATGTCACTTCAATGATCGCCTCTTCTTTCATCAGCTTAAGTCTGTAGGGCTGCCTGGGACTCATCCAGAACTTGCCAACATCTTTGAACATAACAACTGGACCATTTGGAAACTCCAGCTTGCTGTTCTTGTGGGCACGAGATAGCAAGCGATGAAACAGGGGCTCTGGAAGGAACCTCTTGAAGAACACATAGAACTTCTTGTCTGTGGTGCTGTCATGCCATGCAGGAATGTATCCATCTGCAGACATTGGGAGCAAGGATGGAACAAAGTGAGTTGGCTGGTGTTCTTCATCATCACTTAAGCTACAAATGTTCACCTTCTTGTTTGACAAGGGGCAGATCAAATCGTATTCCTCAAGGAATGCTGTCAAGGCTTCTTCGTTTTCTTGCACTGTTGAGATTATTCTGGTCAGCAGTGATTTAGTCAGCATTCCTTTGCCCTGCAGAAGGTTCCAGTCCCGTCTATAGCCTCTTTCCCGGGCTCTCTTGTGGTGGTGGCGTGACAAGCTGTATGATAATATTAACCATTACCTCAGGCTTGAGAAGAACCCATTTGGACAGCTCTGGATCTTTGTCAAGGTATA